ACAAAGTCTTAAAGATTTCTCCATGCAAATCAAGAGCGGAACCAAGATAACGACACAAAGACAAAGTCTTAAAGATTTCTCCATGCAAATCAAGATTGGAACCAAGATAACAACACAAACACGTAACGACACCAAGTTATTATGATAGGAAACACCGAATCTTGAATTCATATTCATGATTTTACGTTCATAACTAATCAAGAAAGGTCGTCAAGAAACAATTCACACTCGGGTATTTATCTAACATCCCGGAAACAACTCGTTTATAGTATTTAAAGTTAAGAAACCAGGCTAGTTATGAAGATAAATGAACATCGCACACAAAAGTAACACGGAGATACACCATAAAAATGGTGAAAGTACCATTAGAACATCAATGGGATATCAAGAAAAGCAGCAAATTCATGGCGAATGATATGGGTATCTCAGAAAATCTTATATTTGGGGTGTTTAAGGTCTTATAAACGGTTTCCTTGTGAATATAAGTGAATATAGAACACCAAAAGTAACATCAAGACATACACTTACGGTGAATATACGATGAATAACTGCATATTTCTCCATGGATTTGAAGAATCATGTACGAATTTTGAAAGAAAACAGATGAATAATATATTTCAAGATCAAGAAAAGCAAGTGAATTCATGGCGAACGACGTGGGCATCTCAGAAAATCGTATACTTGGGGTGTTTGTCTTATAAACAGTTTATTTGCGAAGATAAGCGAACATAGAACATGAAAGCAGCATGAAGATATACCCTAAAAATGGTGAAAATAACATCAGAACATCATGGGATATCAAGAAACGCAACGAATTCAGTGTGAACGATATGAGTATCTCAGAAAATCTTATACTTAAGTCTTATAAACGGTTTATTTGCAAGGATTAGTGAACACACAACACAAAAGTAACATAAACTTATGATGAATGCAATGAATATGTGATGAATACATGATGAATAACTGCATATTTCTCCATGATTTTAAAGAATCAATTACTGATTTTGGAAAAAAAACAGATGAATAACATGTTCCAAGATCAAAATCCTCCTTCTGGTGGTCCAAATCTCTCTGGTTTTTAAGAATTCATTGACATCAAATTCCATGTGAATACATTAAAAAAAACCTATTTCAAACGACTCCAAAACCAAAAACATGTCACCAATAAATCACAAATAAAAGGAAAACAACAATCAAAACCAAGACCCAAATAATCGTATTGAAATCTTCACAAGAATCAAAATGCTAAAAAAAAAGAAGAAAAAAATTCGAAGTTTCTCACCTTGCTAATCTTTGGTACCACAGACCTAAGCATGTAAAGCCTATCATTCAGCTTCTTCCTCCGTCGTCTTTCCGCCATCAAATTCTTCGCCGGCAACCCTTTTTTCTTCCCTTTCCGATCATCTCCGCCACCGCCGGTGATTGTACTGTTGCCATTGGAAGTACTCCCACCACCGATTTTAACTCCATTTTCTTCAAATTTATAATCAGTGTTTTCAGTGAAGTCATCTGAATCGTAATTCAGACCAGACCCATCAAAACTCATGTTTTCAACATCTTCCCAGCTTCCATTACTTCTCTTCCTTTTATTCTCATTGATAATTCCTTCATCTAAAACCCCCAAATCACCTCCACCGTTATTTGTATCGCTTGAATTCCTTCTCGCTCGTTTTTGAAACAAAGTTGGTTGTGCTCCAGTTGAACCCAAATTCTCCAAAGGTTTAAGAAACGATGACGATCCGTACCCGTTTCCAGCGGGTTGAGGCAAATGGGTCGTTGAAAAATGGACATCGGAGCTTAAATTCGAAATACCCATTTGGTTATGAGAACCCAATTCACCAAATTCAGGTAAATCTTCATTTCCAGTGTTGATAGCGAGAAAACCTGCTTCAATATCGAAGCTCGAATCTAGAGGGTTGTCAGAAACGGTGTTTAAAAATGAGGAAATTGTGGGTTTTGGAGGCATGAAAAATTGGGCGTGATTTGGATCCAAATTTTGGAAAAGTGAAACGGAATTAGGGGAACAAGATGATGAACCTTCAACCGACCGTAAAATTAGATTCTGTGGAGAAAAAGGGAGGTTATTTTCATGGTGATTATGCTGCGTCAAGTACCAATTGTTGTCGTTGTTTTCTTCAATTTCAAGCATCGATTTGAAGGAAGTTAGAGAATTGACTCCAATTTCATCTCCTCCATTGTTGCCATTAATGGTGGTGGTGGTGTTAATTTGGTTCTCTCTCTGGTCCGCCATCCAAACACTAATGTTATCTTCTGATAACATGTTGGTGGGTTTAGAACCTAGAGCATGAAAAAGGGATAAAATGGTGGGTTTTAGAGAGAGAGAGAGGGGGAAGTAGAAGAAGAAGAAGATGGAGTTGCAGAAGGAAAAGGGAAATGGCTTTTTTAGCAGAAGATTTGTTTGGAGGCAAAAAAAGATAGATACGGACGTTACGTTTGGGATGTGATGATGATGATGATTACAAAAAAACATAGCGTGGGTATTTTCGTAATTTTGYAATTGTACAACATTTTATGCATAACGTACAATCATTTGTTTGTTACTACAAGATTCTTTTGTTTTTATTAGGTGGCTCTTGTGGATTCAAAATCAAAAAACATTTCTTACATATATTTTTAAGGGTAAATTGTATGAAAAGTTAAAAATTATTTTTTATGCATAAAGTACTGTTTATTGATGTATATTACTTAAAATTTAAGATTATAAGTAAATTGTACGTAAATACAACTTATTAAAGATTCATGTTTGAATTCGTCTAACTAACTTCTGGATAAACATAATCAAATAGAGGATAAACATTTCATTTTAGATATAAAAAAAACTAAAATATAATTATGATAGTTTTAACAAAATATAATCATTATCTTTATAAAAAATTATATTATTAAACCAAAAATTAAAAAATGAAGTAAATAAATACACAAAAAGAGAAATTTTAAATAGTTATTTTGATACTAATATCAATAATTTTTTTATTTTTTATAATATCTTCATATTTATATTTTATTTATAAATAAAAACATTATTGTTTTCTCAAAACTACGTAAAATTGTATTATAACATCGACTAAGACAAAAAAAAATGAAACACTAAAATCGAGATGTATCTCGCTGTATTGTGCAAGTATCATTCTAGTATACTTTTAAAACTTCAATTTTGATACTTAAAATGTAAAGTTTTAAATATTTAAGTATTTGGGTAACTGATTGAAGACTAATTTTAGATTAAAAAAATTCATGTCACTAACCATGTCAGTAAATAATATTGAGTTGGGTATCACATCACTCGCAACATCAGCATGATAATCGGTTAATGTTTCAACCGCTTACCCGGATACTTAAATGTTTAAAATTGTACATCTTAGATACCAAAATAGAAGTTTTAGAAATACATTACCCAAAATATGAATCAAGTTAAAAGCACGTTACTTTTTTATTTAATTTGCACTTTTTTTAATTGGAAACTAGTAGAAATTAATTATTTTTAGGGATTAAATTTATGTTTTAATTATTCCTTTTTGAAAATTTTAGAATATTACTACCTTATTTTCACCAACTTGTGGAGGTGTTACTTGCGAATTTGGGTGAAAAGTGAATATTTTTCGATTTTCATCCACTTATGCAGATGTTATTTACGGACTTGGGTGAAAAGTAATTTTTTTGCTTTTTGTCTTTTAGCTACCTCTGTAAGTTACAGATGTGTCACCTGCGAAGGTAGTGATATTTTGTAAATAACCGAAAAGAAATGACTGAGGTGAATTTGGTCCCTGAATGATTGTTTCCCCTAATTTCCCTTTTTTAAATTTTAGTTACGGTGAGAACCTATTTTTTTGTGTTTTCTCTTTCTACGTCACTTCCAACTCATCAAATTAAAATCTTACAGAAAAGTATATAATGTCAGTTCTTATAAGAATCTTTTTGTGGGTCCTACTTATTTTTTCAAGATCAATAGTTATTATATATTTATAAATAAGTATCAAATATTTAATCTGAAATATATATATATATATATATATATATATATATATAAACTTGTAAATTGTCATTTCACACCAATTTCAAGATAAAAACCAAAGTTATTGTACAAGAACTAAAAAGGGGCGAGGTTCTTATAATCATTCATGTTTTTTTTTTGTTTTTTTTTGTATAAAAACACTGATTCTAACCTTACATTTTATGTAAAATGTCATTTTATTAGTTTTTTTAATTGAGTTAATATATGATAAAAAATACTGTTGAAAAAAATACATAGGACTAACAAAAAAAGGTTCTTGTAAGTATTTAAGCTAGATGAAATTATGGGGGTGTGTGGTTAGAGGTAATAAGCAGTAATCAATGAGAATGAAAATACAAGAAACTGTTTGATATTATATAATATAATGAACTCATTCCTTCAAGAAGCCCAAATTTTCATTCCAGATTAAACTTGGTGGAATGAAAATTCATTTCCATTTTCATTTCCTGTCATTTCCATTTCCATTTCCATTTCCAGCATGAACCAAACAGCCTCTATATATTTAATATTTATATAAAAATATATTGTTACAAATTAATTTGAAAAATAAATTAATTATTGGTTGTAAACATGGTTTAAATTTAAATTTAAATTTAAATAAAAATAAAAACAACATTTTTACACCTTGGCAGACAGGATATGTATGTGTACACATACATCTCATTTCTTTTAAACCCTATTTTTAAATAAAATATATTGGATTTATTTTAATTGATTTACAAAAATATAAAAATATTATTTCTATTTTAATTATTGTATTTTGATGATTATTTTTGTTTAAAAAAATTTAGCAAGTGATTCTATTTTTAAATAAAATATATTCAATATGTTATTTGGTTTTACAAAATATAAAAATATTATTTTTATTTTTATTATTGTATTTTAATGATTATTTTTATTAAAAAAATTAGCTAGTGAAATTTAAATAAATTATAAAATTATAAAATATTAACGTAATGTATGATAATTATAAGTTAACTTATTTTTGAATTTATTTTATTTAAATATCTTAATTATTTATTATTATTAATCAACATGTTTTTATTAAACTATTCAATTATTAATTACATTTTTTTTGAAAATTATTAATAAGATATTTAATTAATAATTATTTATGGAAAAGTAATAATAAAATATTTAATATTAATTAATATTTTGAAAAATTGTTAATAAAATACTTTTTAAAAGATTTAGTTATTAATATCATTAATTAGTTTGAATAGTTTTTAAAATTTATAATGATTTTATAAAATCCGTTGTAATCCTTAACATTCAATGGTCGTGTATCTCATGATGAGAAACTTCGTAACGCCACTGAAAACTCGTGATTTTGGCGTAATATGTGCGATTTTGGGTAAATGCATAGAGATTTCTCGACCTTTTATGACATGTGGGGCTCATTTTGTTACTGAATAAAAAATTCACCAATTGACGAACGTATCGTCTATTTTCTTAAATACATAAAAATGTGGTTATTTTGTTAATTTCTTGTATGTATTTTGGCTATTAATAAAGGCAGTAATGTAATTAAGTAATTTTTATAATTTTTATTTTATTTTAATTACTTATAATTATCCCTTTTTTCTGGATTGATCACGTTTGTTTCCACTTTCTTTTCTTTTTTTGTGATAATTGTGTGATTGTGTAACCATAAAGTATCGAAACTATGATCAATCGAGTGTAACCATAACCTCGGAACCTTGAGTAATCGTTGTGATAAATGTGTGATTGTCTAACCCTAACCAATCAAAACCATGATCAAATTGAATGCGCAAGTGATGTTATAATAGTGATATCACATGATTATCACACCCATATCACACCAAATCGGGAGTCGATTTCCTAAGTTAACCCTAGCCGAGCTGAATCCTTGTGATAATTGTGTGATAATCACATGATTATCACACCCAAATCGTGTTGAAATAAGCGATAACCATAATAGCCCATTATGTTATCCAGATTATTGGGTTTAGTGTGATAATGTTTTTAAAAATTTATCATTTTGAATCCCAATATTACCCTTTTGCCTCTCAATTTTTTTTGAATTGTTTTAATTTCATTTTTAATTTAAAAAAATCTTTTAATTTTTATTGTTATCACAATATGAGGTTAATAGGTTGTTCTCGCGTTTTCGCAAATCACAGGGGTTTCGTTTGAACCCTTATATATATATATATATATATATATATATATATATATATATATAATGAAAACCATAAAATATTGAGAATTGTGAGAACTAGAAATCATATGTTGTGAAACAATATTGTTGATCCTCTCTCTCAGTGATTTGATGATAATCTTTTTTCACTTGTACGTTGTATTTATGTTTCTGTATTTTCAGTTCCAGCGATCTTCACTGAGTATGTTCAGTGATCGCTGAAAAACTTGCATTGTAAATCTATCAGAGACAACAATACTTCAAGAAGACAACACTCACACCAAAGAACCTTCAGCAAACGTCGAAGACTGAAACTGAATATTAGAGACTGACGAGTACGTGATCTGAAGCAGTATTCAGTGATTACAAGTCTGTCTACATATGTGTGAAGACTGCTAAAGCTTCAGCGAATGATGATGAGACCTTCAGGTCATTCCAGCATTCAGCGATCAAAGGAAGCTTACTTAGCACGATTGTTGTTGTCTTGTCCTTATGCACACAAATGACAAAACCCATACCCTTACAAAAGTTAGTACGATACGGAGCCGACTAGTCGACTCTATTGTCCACCAACTTTAGGTAAGGATGTCTGCTCATGAATAGTGTTTTTGTACTATTCACTATAGCAAATGACAAGTCTTCCTCTTAAGGCTTCACACGCACTCTAACCCTACCATATTGCATTAAATGTTCATTTAATGCACTGGGTATAAATAGAAGTGTTTCTTTTCCATGCAGAGCGTGCGCAACTCACTCTCTAACCCTAATTCTTACTTCAAGCATTTTCTAGCTTAAGTAAATGATCTTATTTACATCAATTTCTTTTCTTGTATTTACTAAGACTTTGTGTGTAACCAAAGATTGTTTAGATAGGTTTTCATTACCTTATCTTTCCACAAACAATCTTGTAAAATATGTATTGATTTTCTCTATCAATATATATTTTAAATTTGAAAATACTGTGTTTGTATTTATCCCTCCTTTTCTACAAACTGTTTTTCTTCTTGTAGACCCTCACGGGACCAACAAATATACATGGAAATCCAATATTGTTTTACAATGTGATTATTTTAAATGTGTATTCTTATATTTGTTGTTTCACATTGTGAAACAACATTGTATCTTCACATGTATTGTTTCACAATATGAAACAACACATGATCAGTGGTTCTCACCAATTCT